TATGCCATGCTTTACATTTAAAGATACTAGTATGAGCATGTAAAGGATGTTCCGGAAAAGATTTAGACTTCAGTGGTCAATAAAGTTGAGAAGTTGATTTAGATCCTAGTGAGGCCACACAGAACAATTTATTATTAAAGTATTTTTTGGGGGAGTATCCTCTATTCTGAGAAGGGGTCATCGTCCAGGCCGAGGGTCCTGATCAAGGCGTTGACTTCCTGAAACTACTTGTGCCAAAGTATGGAGCACATGAGCCGAGGGTCTCGTTGCTAAGAATTTCACCTAGCCAGACTAAGGTATGATACATGAGCGCTGAGAACCATGAAGCGAGTGGCACTTCGTGGATTGGGCCTATTCGATCAGGTTGGGATCGAACCTATGCCAATCACATGGTGACTAAGACAAAAATAAGTCAGGATAGTTGGAACTCCTGAAGTATAAAGTGAAGTATTTTTTTTATTAGAAAGAAAAAGAAAAGAATTTCGTTTAGAATATTCATAAACTGCTATTATGCAATTATTTTAACATTGTTCTTAGAAGCTTTATGTTTTCAATGCATTTAGATCTTTGCTCGTAATGTATATTTTATTAAAGTTCCGTCCCCTGTCGTTGAGACTCACTGAGTACAATGGATGGTACTGACATTCTCTTTTGGGAACCTATGTTGGTCCGCGGTACAACGTAGGAACCGGTTTTGCAGGCGAGCAGACTACTGGTTAGGATTTCCCTCTCTTCTAGTGCTATTGGTGAGCTCCGCTTTTGTTCGTGGAGCATTCCTTTGAGTCATCTTCATTTAGTTATTCCTATGTTTACTTGGAGAACTAGCCAGGTAATCTCATGTCCCGAGCAGTGCTTCAGTTTATCAATAGAGACTTCATAGACACAGTCGATGGGTTAAGATTCAGATGTTTTTATGATAATGACTTAGCAGTATTTCAGTGGTTACTAAGATAAAGTTTTGGAGTTGGTTTACTTTATATATTTAAATTAATTGAAAGTATTTGGTTAAAGTATTGTCTTGTTGCATATAAAGTGTGAAGTTATAATAGATTTGATCAGCGCAGATGGTTCGGTCGGTCAAGTTTAGTGATCGGGTGCCGGTCACGGCTTGTTCAGGAAGTGGTCATAACAAACTTGGTATCAGAGCATCAGGTTTATGGAGCCTTAAAGGTCTATGAAGCCATGTCGGTAGAGTCTTATTTATGGGTATGAAGCGCGCCATACTTATAAATAGAAGGCTACCAACATTTAGGAAAAGTCTCATTTTTTTCATACTTTAGATCGTGCAGTAGAGCCTACCTCTTAGAAATTATCTAATGTATCTCTTTCTCCAAAACTCGCAGAAATGGCTCGTAATCGCAACTCTGACAATGACACTCATGATGCTGCTCAAGAAACTATTGTGGCTCAAGGTAGAACTAAGGAGGCTTCAACTCAGAAAAGAAAGGGTAAATCCACAAAGGGGGTTCAAGTACCCCAGATTGAACATAAAGAAGGGGTGGAGCATGATGAGCAAGTACCTCGGGATCCAGTGCCTCACCCAATAGCAATTCCAGCTCAGACAACTATATCTCCAAAGGTGGGTCAGATGTTTAATGCTATCAACAATGCTATGGAGATGTTTAAAGCCTTCACGGCCAACCAAAACGAGAGAAGAGAAGAGATTCCACCTCAATCAAATAGGCAAAACAATTCTGAGTCCTCAAGAGTAAATGAATTTTTAAAGCTGAGTCCTCCATTGTTCCGTGGTACTATTGTTGATGAAGATCCAATGTTGTGGCTGGAGGGTTTCAAGAAAGCCCTCCGAGCGATGAAGGCATTTGATGATGAAGCTGTGGAGCTGGCTGCCTACCAGCTTAGAGATGTGGCTGGCGCTTGGTTTGAGATGTGGGAAAAGGAAAGAGATGAAGATTATGGTGTGATGACCTGATAGTTCATCTCATGTTTTAGAACTAAATTCTGTGTTCCAAAGCCTTAAATATCTTATTTTAGCCTTCCTCGATTTTCATGCACGGTCCGGTTGTTTTTCTGGAAGGCTTATATGTTAAAAACTGGAAAAAAAGAAGAAAATTTGCCTTAAAAATTAAACTGAGTTGACTTTGGTCAATGTTTTGAGCAAACAGACTCCGATCCGTGTTTTTACGGTCCTGGTGGATCCGCACCATAATTGGGACCTGGGCGTATCCCCGAAATCGAATTCCGATGTTCCTAGCTCGAGATATGGATTTTTGATGAAAAATTAAAGTGTGAAAGTTTAATGATTTTAAGAATTGAATGATGTTTGGCCTTGTTGATACCGGGTCCGTATTTTGGTTTCGGATCCCGGTACAGGTCCATTATTATATTTATGACTTGCCAGTGAGATTTGGTGAGAAACGGAGTTAGTTTGACATGATTCAGACGTCCGGTTGTGAAAATAGAAGTTCTAAAGCTTTCTTGAAAAGTTCATTTTGATTTGGTGTTCAATTCGTAGTTCTAGGTATTATTTTGGCGATACGATCGCGCGAGCAAGTTCATATGATATTTTAGGACTTGTGTACATGTTTGGTTTGGAGCCCCGAGGGCTCGGGTGAGTTTTGGATTGGCTACGGGATGATTTGAACTTAGAAAATTTGGTGTTTTTGCTGCAGCTGGTGTTCTGGTGTGTTTTGCTTCGCGATCGCGAAGCCATTCTCGCGATCGCGAAGGGGATCTGGGCTGGGGGAGGGGGGGATTTTACACTATGCGAACGCGAGACCATGGTCGCAAACGCGAAACATTGGGGGGATTGCTCTACGCGAATGCGACCCGTCACACGCGAATGCGTAGCATTAGCTAGGCTGGGCAGGGGGAATTGAGGTAACTCTACGCAAACGCGATCTGAGTCTCGCGAACGTGGAGGTCAAGGGGGATAGACCTTCCCAAACGCGTACAGTTACTCGCGTTCGTGTAGGCCACTTAGGCCCAGCTCTTCGCGAACGCGTCAGTGTTCACGCGAACGCTATGAACACTGACGCCTAGTGATAAAATAGTCCCATTACGGGATTTTATACATTCTTTCAAATTTTCAAAACCTAGAAAGCCTAGAGACGATTTTTCCAAGATATTTTCTTCCCCAATTTGTTGGTAAGTGATTCTAACCTACTTTATTCCAATTACCCATTACATTTCATGAGTTTTCAACCTAAAATCTAGGATTTTCATGGGGGAAATTGGGGGTTTGGGTAGAATTAGGGATTTTTGTAGAATTGGAATTTAGACCTTGAATTGAGGTCAGATTTTGAAACAAATTATATAATTGGGCTCGGGGGTAAATGGATTTTGGTCCGAACCTCGGGTTTTGACCAGGCGGGCCCGCGGTCGATTTTTGACCTTTTGGGGGAAAGTTTGGAAATCTAAATTTTTGCATTGTAGTTGATTCCTTTATCAATATTTGATGTTATTGAGTTAATTGTGGCTAGATACGAGTAGTTTGGAGGCGAATTCTAGGGGAAAGGCCCCGGTAGAGTTTTGAATTGGCTGCGGAGTGAGGTAAGTATTGTGTATAACCTTGACTTGAGGGAATTAGGAACCCTCGGACTATGTGCTATGTGATTCTAATGAGAGCGGAATATATGCGAGGTGACGAGTGCTTATACGCCGCCGAATTATCTGTTTTCCCTGATTTACCGCTTTTCCTTAATTATTTCCTTTCCTGTCTTAACTGTTACATGCTCTATATGATTTCCATGTTTAATAGCTACTTGTTGTTCTATATCTTCTCCTGTTCACGATGTTAGTTCTTCCATAGTGTCATGACTCCCTGTTATTTGTTTAAGTTGACTTACTTGCACCTACTAATTGTTGAATGCTGGATTGGTCTCGTTGTTTAGTATTACTCGTGTAGATTTCTTTACTGTACAAGTTACCTTTGGTTCAGTTTGGTATTTATTGACCGTAAAGGCTTTGTGATAGAACTATTGATTTGTTTGTGCTTTGACTATTTGGTACTGTTATAGTGGGATCGGGATGCACGCCGTAGTAGGTGTAATAAGGGTGGACTGTTATGGTGGAATAAGGGTGAATCCGTTCTATACGGTGGGATCGGGTTGCACACCACAATAGGTGAAATAAGGGTGGATTGATATGGTGAAATAAGGGTGATATATGATACTGTGTTGATATATGGTGGGATCGGGTTGCGCGCCGCAACATATTTACATATATTATCTCTGTTCTTGATGCTATTTCGGTGGAATAAGGGAGGATTTGTGTTTTCTGGTGGGATTGGGTTGCGCGCTGCAAAACCTATATGTTTCCATTTCTTGAGTTGTGTTGGTTTTTCCGATATTTGCATTTGAACTGTTTAAGATTGGAAATTCTGGACCACGCTGGTTTATTCTTGAGGCTGGGGTTATCATTTTCAGTTGACTGTTTAATTCTGTTCAGAATTTCTATTGTTCTGTCATTATTATATATACTGCGTACAGGTTATAGTGTAGGTGACCCGCCTTAGCCTCATCACTACTTTATCGAGGTTAGACTCGACACTTACAAGTACATGTGGTCGGTTGTACTGATACTACACTCTGCACACTGTGAAGATTCTGGAGTCGGTCCCAGCGGCGGTTATTAGCGTGCTCGGATTGGACAATTGCGGAGACTTAAGGTACGGCTGTTCAGTGCCCGCAGCTCCTGGAGTCCCCATCCTCTTTCTTTAGCTGTATATTTCCATTCAAACAACTTTGTCTTTATTTCAGACCCTTATATGTATTACTCTAGAAGCTCGTGCACTTGTGACACCAGGTTCAAGGATTTTTAATAGATGTTTGGCTGGTTTAGCTTCCGTATTTACACTTAGAATATTTTAGTTATTTCAGTTCTTTATTAATATTATCATTTAAACCGATAAAAGAAGTAAATTGTTCTAATGTTGGCTTGCCTAGCAAGTGAAATGTTAGGCACCATCACGGTCCCGACGGTGGGAATTCCGGATTGTGACAGATGGTCCGCTGACTTAGGAAGAATTTGAAGAGCCCTTCATGGCTAATTTTATACCAGAAGAGGATAGAGAAGCTAAGGGTACAGAGTTCGAGCAACTCAAGCAAGGGAATAAAAGTGTGCAAGAGTACAACATGGAATTCACAAGTTTGGCTAAGTATTCTCCTCACATGGTTAAGACAGAAAAAGCAAAGATTCGCAGGTTTGCTAGCAGTTTGGCTTACCACATTAAGGATACGGCATCAGCTGGAGCAGTAGGAATGACAGCTTTCTCCTCTGTTGTGGGACTCTCCAAGCACTTAGAAAAAGATAGACAACAAAGGAGAGAAGAAAAAAAACATAACAAGAAAGCCCGTACAGCGGGCGGGTTTAATGGTACATCCAGTGGAGGTGGAAGGGGTTCCTCAAATAAGGAGTCATTAGCACCAGCTCAGTCCAGTCATCAATCAGGTGGTGGGTCTTACTTCAAACGTACTTAGAGTTACGGAAACCAGTCTCGCCAGAATTAGAATTTTAGGATATCATCCTCACATAGCCAGAGTCATGCTGAGAAACATTCACAACAACAAGGTCTTTGTGGTTTGTGTAAGCGGCAACATTCAGGTCAGTGCAATCTCGGGTTTCACGGTTGCTATCATTGCGGAGACATTGGTCATATAAAGGCTAGCTGCCCAAAGTTACGATGTAATTTCATTGGGGGATCAACTCGTTCTTCTATTTCCTCAGCTACTACAGTTGCACCACCTCAGGCTCGTGGTTCTCATAATCAGACCGGGTGTGGGGTAGGCAGAGGTGCCGATCGTGTTACTCAGGGTGGGGGACAACCCCGTTTGTTTGCTACACTTGATCGTCAAAGTGCAGAGGCATCCGGAGAAGTTATTACATGTATACTTCTTGTATGCTCACATAATGCTTATGATTGATCCAGGTTCAACGTTTTCGTACGTGACTCCATTCTTTGCAATTAATCTCAGGCTAGAACCTGAACAACTTAGTGAGCCATTCCTAGTATCTACTCCAGTTGGTGAGTCAGTGGAAGCCACAAGAGTCTATAGAAGTTGTATAGTTTTAGTCCAAGGTCGCAGCACCGAGGCCGATCTCATAGAGTTAGAAATGGTGGATTTCAAATTGATCATGGGTATGGATTGGTTATCTTCTTGCTATGCCATGTTAGATTGTCGTGCCAAGATAGTTAGGTTCCAATTTCCAAATGAAGAAGTCTTAGAGTGAAGGGTAGTTTAGCATTGCTGGTAGGTAAGTTTATTTCTTACCTTATGGCACAACGAATGATTGGTAAGGGGTGTCTCGTCTATTTGGCTCACATCATTAATCCAGAATCAGAACCACCAGCTCTTCAGTCTGTGCCAGTTGTTAGAGAATTTCTAGAAGTTTCCCCAGATGAACATCCCGGACTTCCTCCTGAAGGAATCATAAACTTTGGCATCGATCTTCTGCCAGGCACTCAGCCCATATCTATACCTCTTTATAGGATGGCTCCAGTAAAACTTAATGAGTTGAGGAAATAGTTGAAAGACCTTCTTGACAAGGGCTTCATCAGGTCGAGTGTTTCACCATGGGGTGCCCCGGTCATGTTTGTCAAGAAGAGAGATGGGTCTCTCAGAATGTGCGTTGACTATCGGCAGTTGAATAAAGTTACCATTAAGAACAAGTACCCACTACCAAGAATTGATGATCTATTTGATCAACTTCAGGGTGCAAAGTACTTTTCAAAGATAGACTTAAGGTCAGGGTACCATCAGTTGAGAATCAGAGAAGAGGATATATCTAAAATAGTCTTTAGAACTCGCTACGAACACTATGAATTTCTAGTAATGTCCTTCGGGTTGACAAATGCTTCAGCTGCATTCATGGACCTCATGAACAGATTTTTCAAGCCATTCCTTGATACCTTTATTATCGTGTTTATAGACGATATTTTGGTATACTCTAAGAGCAAGGATGTAACGACCCGATCGGTCGTTTTGAGCTTTTGCACTTTGATCGCCAGTTCCCGAGCATGACTTGCCCCGTGTAATGTATTACGACTGATGTAGATCGTTGGTTTTGGTTTTCAGGAGAATCGGGATGAATTTGAAGGAACAGTCTCAATTGAAAGCTTCGAATTTTAAAGGTTTAACCAAGGGTTGACTTATTTGTATATGAGCTCGGATCGGAGTTTTTATGATTTTGTTAGCTTCGTTAGGTGATTTGTGACTTAGTAGCGTGATCGGAATTGGTTTTGGAGCTCCGGTGTAGAATTAGGCTTGAATTGGCGAAGTTAGTATTTTGGCGAATTCCAGTTGGTAGGTGAGATTTTGATCTGAGGGTTGGAATGGAATTACGAGAGTTGCTATAGTTTCGTTATGTCATTTGGGATGAGTGTGCAAAATTTCAGGTCATTCGAACGTGGTTTGGTTGGATTTTTGATCAAAAGCGTGGTTCGGAAGTTTTAGAAGAACTTAGGATTGAATTCGATGTGAATTGATGGTTTTGATGTTGATTGAGGTGTTTTGATGATTGGAACAAGTTTGAATGATGTTTTAGGATGCGTTGGTGCTTTTGGTTGAGGCCCGGGGGGCCTCGGGTGAGTTTCGGATGGTCAATCGGGTTATATTCTATGTTGAAGAGTTGCAGAAAATTTGTCTCAGCAGTTGCAGCAATTTATCTCTTCGCGTTCGCATTAGTGTTCTCGCGTTCGCGAAGAGTAGGCGGAGGAGGGTGTGAAATTTGCCTTCGCGTTCGCGAAGTAGGCATCGCATTCGCGAAGGGGTGTGTTCTCAGTGCATCGCGTTCGCAGGTTCTTATTCGCGTTCGCGTAGAAGGATTCGAGTAAGTGGATTTGAAGTGGAATTGTGCTACGCGTTCGCAAGTGTATTGTCACGTTCGCGAAGGGTTGCTCAGGTAAATCATCGCGTTCGCGAGTCCGGTATCGCGATCGCATAGAAGGGAAATCTGGTCAAGGTAAGATGTGCATCGCGAACGCGAGAGTTGGACCGCGTTCGCGAAGAAGAAAATCCTGTAGCTAGGCAGAATGTCTTAAAGCCATCTTGTCCGCGATTTTAGGTCTATTTTCACCCATGGCTGCTCGTCTTTGGAGATATTTTGAGGGAATGAAAGAGGGATTCAAGAGGGATCGACTTGAGGTAAGAATCTTGGTCTTAAAACTTGATTATATTGTGAAATCCACCTAGAAATTGATGTAACTTAAGCAAAAATGGAAGAAACTAGGGCTTGGGATTTTGAAATTTGATTTGGGGATTTGAAGGACCAATTGGGATTGGATTTGAGAACTTTTGGTATGTATGAACTCGTGAGGAGATAAGGAACGTATTGATGTGAAAATTTCTGAGTTTCGAGAAGTGGGCCCGGGGCTCGGGTTTTGCCAATTTCGAGATTTTTAATAATTTTCGATTGTTTTTGATTGGGTATTGTTCCATTGGCATATTGTGACGTATTCGTTCTGGTTTTGGATAGATTCGACCCGCGTGGAGGCCAATTTGAGGGGCAAAGGCGTCGCGAGCTAGAGATTTCGCCGGTTCGAGGTGAGTAATGATTGTAAATGATATCCTGAGGGTTTGAAACCCCGGATTGCACACCGTAGTGCTATATTGAGGTGACTTGCACGCCGGATAGCGAGCGTGGGGTAGAGCACCGTTGAGGGATTGTGACTTGGTCCGTCCCGATTGATGATTTTACCGCGTATTTGACTGAAACTTATTTGTTATTATCATGATTTGGGCTGATTGCCATATTTGGGCTTCGTGCCAATTATCTGAACCCTTCGGGGATTTTTATCACCGTTTCTCACTATTTTGATATCTACTTGAACTCAGTCCTGTTGATTATACTGTTTTACAAACTCAGCCGCTTTAATTGAATTTTGAGACTTAAATGATATTTTCACTGTTGTTTGGGCTGAGCACTACTATTTTATTGATGCCCGAGGGGCTTATGATGTTTTCTGGACTGAGTGAGGCCAAGGGCCATATGTGAGGATATGTTGAGTGATGTGAGGAGGCTTTTAGGCCTTGTGAGTGATGTGAGGAGGCTTTCAGGCCTTGTGAGTGATGTGAGGAGGCTTTCAGGCCTTATGAGTGATGTGAGAAGGCTTTCAGGCCTTATGTTATATGCCACAAGGTGGCTTGATATTGCGCTTGGGCCGTAAGGGGCCCCTCCCGGAGTCTGCACACCCCCAGTGAGCACCGTCGACGATATATGGATCGGGTTGCACGCCGCAGCGAGATGTGGATCGGGCTGCACGCCGCAACGGTTACTATATGATATTGTTCTGAGAGTGATCTGAGAGAGAGAACCCGAGGGGCTGAGAGTGTTTCTGAGAGTGAGCCCGAGGGGCTGGTACTGTTTTGAGATATTGCCCGAGGGGCGAACTTTTATGTGCTCATCTTGCGTATTTACTTGCCTTTTTACCTGTTATACCGCGGTATTTGTGCCCGAGGGGCGGATTTTTCTGTGCTTATCAGCACAAACTGTTTTGAAATTGTTCCGTAACTGTTGAAAAGATCATTTTCAAAAGAGATTTAAACTGAGCCAATATATTTCTAAAGATTTCACAGCTTCATTGTTTTCTCAAAGGATTGTATCCTGCTTCTATATAGCATGTTGGTTGCTTTACGTGATTTCTTACTGCTCAGTTGTTATTTACCTTTATTACTCACTGAGTTGGAGTACTCACTTTACTCCCTGCACCTCGTGTGCATTGCGGGTATTTATTCACCCGGTAGCGGGTATTGGCTGTTTGGAGGCAGAGCTGTAATAGTTTAGCGAGGTGGCTGCCAGCGTTCGCAGCACCATATCTTTCTATGTTGTTCATTATTCCTTTTCAGTGTATTTCTAGACTTGTAAATGTAATTACATTCTTATAGATGCCCGTGACTTGTGACACCCCGATTAGGGCTATGTTGGGTTGTATTTCCGCTTATTAATACTATTAAGTCATATTTAAGCTGTTTATTTATGTTTAACTAATTTTTTTTTGAAAAGACGAGTTGGGTTAGTTGGCTAGCATCGGCTTCACGAGAGGCGTCATCACGACCAGTGCGAGGTTTGGGTCGTGACAAAGGATGAGCATGCAGAACACCTCGGGATAGCCTTGCAGACCTTGAAGAATAATGAGCTTTATGCCAAATTTTCAAAATCTGAGTTCTGGTTGCAGTCAGTGGCATTCTTAGGACACGTGGTATCCAGTGAAGGCATAAAAGTAGACCCTCAGAAGATAGAAGCAATCAAAAACTGGCCAAGGCCGACAACGCCAATCGAAATCAGGAGTTTCTTGGGGTTAGCTGGCTACTATAGAAGGTTTGTAAAGGGATTTTCCTCACCTACAGCTCCATTAACTAAGTTGACTCAGAAAGCAGTTAAGTTCCAGTGGTCAGACGCTTATGAGTAGAGTTTTCAAGAGGTAAAGAAGAGGTTGACCACTGCACCTATGTTAACCTTGCCGATAGGTTTGGGTGGGTTCACAGTGTATTGTGATGACTCCAAAGTGGGGGTCTTGGTTGTGTTCTTATGCAAGATGGAAAAGCTATTGCTTATGCTTCCAGGCAGTTAAAGAATCATGAGAAGAACTACCCACACACGACTTGGAGCTTGCAGCAGTAGTGTTGGCGTTAAAGATATAGCGACACTACCTTTATGGCGAGCATCCGGAAGTGTTTATAGATCACAAAAGCCTCCAGTACATTTCAAGCAGGAAAAATTAAATTTGAGACAGAGAAGGTGGCTCAAGCTATTGAAGGATTATGACATCAATATCCTTTATCACCTGGGCAAACCTAATGTGGTAGCAGATGCACTTAGTAGGAAGTCAATGGTTGTCCTGGCCCATCTTGCAGTACAAAGGCAAACTTTGGGTCGAGAAATTCAAAAACTGGCAAATGATGGAATTAGATTGGACGAGACCGAAGAAGGAGGTATAACTGCTTATGCCTTAGCGCAATCCTATCTTGTTACGCATGTCAAGTATAAGCAAGACGAAGATCAGTACTTAGTGAAGTTAAAATAAGAAGTCAGAAACAAAGAAATCCCTGCTATCACTCTAGGAAGTGATGGAGTTTTGAAGTTGAATGATCGGTTATGTGTGCCTGATGTAGATGGGCTTAGGAAGGCCATAATGGAAGAAGCTCACAGTTTGAGGTAGCCTATCCACCCAGGTGCTACCAAAATGTATTTGGACTTGAAAGAATTGTATTGGTGGAAAGGCATGAAGAAGCAAGCAGCAGATCACGTGGCCAAATATTTGAATTGCCAGCAAGTCATAACTGAGCATCAGAGGCCTGGTGGCCTAGCTCAAGATATAGAGATACCACAGTGGAAATGGGAGATGATTAATATGGATATCATAGTAGGTCTGCCTCGCACATACAGTAAGCATGATTCAATTTGGGTTATTGTAGACCGACTCACAAAGTCCGCTCATTTCCTACCAGTAAAGACAACAGATTCTACAGAGCAGTATATATAATTGTACATCAAAGAAATAGTCCAATTGCATGGTACTCCAATTTCAATCATATCTGACAGAGGCCCTCAATTTACAGCGCATTTTTGGCAGGCATTTCAGATAGATTAGGTACCAAGGTCAATTTGAGCACCACTTTCCATCCACAGACCGATGGTTAAGCAGAAAGGACCATTCAGACCCTCGAAGATATGTTGTGTGCATGTGTTATAGATTTTGGAGGTAATTGGGATGATCACTTGCCGCTTATAGAATTTTCTTACAATAACAGCTATCAGGCCAGCATTGGTATGGCTCTTTATGAAGCGTTGTATGGGCGAAGATGTAGGTCTCTAGTGGGTTGATTTGAACCAGCAGAGGTGTCGTTCATTGGTCCAGAGTTTGTTTGTGAGGCCTTAGAGAAAGTCCACCTAATTAGAGAAAGACTGAAAACGGCTCATGATCAGTTCCAAACATGTACTACTATTGAGTAGCAAGGATGATCGATGCAGTTTTACCCAACAAAGGTCGGGATCGAATCCACAGGGAGATAATTAGTTGGGACTTAGGTTTATATCCGTGTAGAGATGCGGGTTTCGCTCTTAATTGCACTTCCACAAATGGTTGGTTTGCTTTTTTACTTCTACCTCTTATTCTATAGCATGCAGTATTTGAAACTAAGTACAATATTTTTGTTGGTTGTTTTCAAGGATTTAGAGGGACTAGGGTAGTGACTTCTGCCTAGGTGGATATCTAATGGGTAGCAAGAATCTAGGTCAATCATGTGATTAATTGGGGTCGTAGTATAGCCATCACACTCGAGTACTCACTCTATACCTCTCGGTAGTTTGAGTGATTTTGCCCAATTTGGCTTTCTCAAGTCCAAATGGATATTCATGCAATTCAAGTGATTTTAGCTCAAGTCGGGTATTACTATCTCTAGGTTTAACCCTTTAATTGGGGCTATCAATTTCTTGAGTTCATCCCAATTCCTTGTTAGCCTAATTTTCCTAGACTTAGTCCCACTTTCTCAAGTAAAGACTAAGTCATAAAGGTATGAATCAGTCTTTGCAACCACCAATTCCTTAGTTCTAGCAAGAATTAAGCTAAATACTACTAACCCACACACATTCAAGCCCTAAAATTCAAGACCCATTAAATACTCACACTAGGGTTGGGTCACAACCCTAGCTATGGGTTAGCTACTCATGAAAATGGCATAAATCAAAGATAAAGAGAAGATAAAATTCATAATGCTAAATTAAAAGATGAAAATCTAAAGTTATAAGGTAAGATCAATTATTCGAGGTTGGTATCGAATGATAAACCGCAGACCGCGAAATAGTAGACGCGGCCGCGAAAGCTGTTAACAGACTTCTCTGAAGTTTAAGAGCGCGGTCCGCGAAAACTTGGCCGCAACCGCCATGAATCAACCGCGGACCGCGAAAAAGTAACCGCGGACCGCAAACTTATACCAAAACTAAGAAATAAAAAGGTACCCTACCGCGGACCGCGAAAAACTAACCGCGGCCGCGAACTTCTACCGCAATTGGAGCTGAAGAACAATTTAACCTAGGGTTTTCACTAAGTGCATACAATCAATTTAATTAGCAATTAAAGTTACTAACCATATCCCCCCATTAGGCATGTAAATATTACCCACATATGTTTAATCAATAATTTTAGATCAAGGGGTGTATTTCACTCTGATTAAAAAAAAATTGAAAAGAAAAATTAAAAAAAAAAAAAAAAGAAAAAAGAATATTAATTCATTAATTTGAACATACCATTTGTGAGTTTTTAGCAAGAAAACAACACTTGATTCCAAAGAGACATGATTGACAGCCAGAGAAGATGAACAGTGTTCTTTGTGAGGTGAGAATTTAGGGTGCAAAAAGTGTAAAAAGCTTAGGGACCCCCTATTTATACTTAGCAGATGTGGACCCCACAACTTACCTGAACGCGACCGCGAAATTCTATCGCGGTCCGCGTTCTTTTACCTGATGAAGAACAGCCTCAAGCAACTGACCGCGGACCGCGGACTTAAGAATGCGACCGCTGAATTCACCGCGGACCGCCAAACTATGAACGCGGACGCGAACTCAACTTCAGAGAGCTGGTATTTTGAGCTCTTCAAGTACGCGTCCCCGAACAAAAAGTGCCCCCGCATATTGCTAACGCGGACCACGAGATTTTAGGCGAGGCCCGCAAAATTCCCCATACTTAGGCAAATTTTTCCAGCCAAAGTCCTGCAATTCACAAATAATTCCTACACAAACTTCACAACCAGTTAGTCCAAAACAAAGCCTAAACTAAGAATAAAATCAAAAAGAAAGAAAAACACATGGGTTTCCTCCCACGAAGCCCCTGATTTAACGTCGCGGCACGACGCATGTTACCATCATTCACTTGAAATGGATCAATGCCACCACGTGGCTATCATCAAACTTACCAAGATAGTGCTTCACTCGGTGCCCATTAACTCTAAAGATTTTACCATTTTTGTTTTTCAAATCAAGAGCACCAAACGGATTACATGCATCACTTTAAAAGGGCCACTCCATTTTGACTTGAGCTTTCCCGGAAACAGTCGTTACCGAGAGTTGAATTGAAGAACCAAGTCACACTCCTTGAACTCCTTGTTCCGGGCATATTTGTCATGTAAGTACTTCATCTTGTCCTTATACAAGGATGAGCTGGAATAAGCATGAAACCGGAACTCATCAAGTTTATTTAATTGCTTTACCCGGAGGTTTACAGCTACACCCCATTCAAGGTTTAACTTCTTCAGCGCCCACATGGCCTTATGCTCTAATTAACCCAGAAGATGGCATGTTTTACCAAATACCAACAGGTACGAAGACATACCAATTGGATTCCTGTACGCAGTTCTGTAAGCCCACAAAGCATTATCGAGTTTCCTTGACCAATCAGTCTGGTTTGCATTGACAGTATTTGATAATATGCTCTTTATCTCCCTGTTGGAGACCTCAACTTGTCCACTAGCCTAGGGATGATAAGGGTTGACACCTTATGATTGATACCATACTTGGAAAGTAAAGTATCGAAGGCCTTGTTATAATAATGAGACCCCCCATCACTAATGATTGCCCTTGGAGTGCCAAACCTTGTGAAGATATTTTTCTTTAAGAACACCACCACACTCTGTGCCTGATTGTTGGGCAAAGCCACAGCTTCAACCCACTTGGAAACATAATCAATAGCAACCAGAATGTAAGTATTACCACATGAACTCACAAATGGCCCCATGAAGTCGATGCCCCACACGTCAAAAATATCAATCTCAAGAATAGTGGTGAGAGGCATTTCATCCTTCTTGGAAATTCCACCAGCTCTCTGACACTCATCACATCTCTTTACAAGCTCACTAGCATCTGTATATAAGGTAGGCCAATAAAATCCACAGCTGAGAACCTTTGAAGTAGTTCTCGCCCCACCATGATGATCACCGTAAGGAGAGGAATGCCAAGCATCAAGAATACTCATTTGCTCCTCTTCCAGAACACATCTCCGGATCACACCATCATTGCAAATCTTGAAAAGGTATGGCTCATACCTGTAATAATCCAAGCTGTCCCGTTTAAGCTTCTTCCTTTGGTTAGAAGAGAGCTTACTCGGGGCACTGCCGGTCACAAAAAAGTTAGCCACATCAGAAAACCAAGGCATACTATTCAAAGACATTGAGAGGAGTTGTTCATCTGGAAAAGAATTATTAATTTCGAGGCCATCATGGAGCCTCCCCTCCTCTTCCAAGCGAGACAAGTGGTCCGCCACTTTATTTTCACTCCCTTTTCGATCAATAATGTCAAGGTCAAACTCTTGAAGCAGAAGAACCCATCTCATCAACCTAGCCTAAGAGTCCTTTTTTGTCATCAAGTAACGGAGTGCCGTGTGATCGGTGTGCACAGTCACTTTGGTACCCATGATAT